AGGGACAGAGTTGAATATAAAGATCTTCTAAAGAAAGGTACATGAACTGAGCTCCTTAGGGACCCTTTGCATGCTGAAGAGAGCTGAGAAATAATCAAATAATATACACAGAAAGTGTGTTCAAAGATCAGCTTCCTTATTTTAGGTTCTCTGACTTTAGCTCAAAAAGATGAGGGTACATAAAAGACTGTGAAAAGGAGGAATATTAAAAAGAAAAATGCAAACATCTCAAGAGATGTCACTGTGTTTTCAGGTGAAACCACGTGTAAAAGCAAGACTGCTTTCCAAGCAGATCAAATGTGAGTACTAGAGAGAAACTTGGGGGTTTCTGTGCTGGCTTTGTTTCCATAGCACAGCAAGTGACCAGGCAGCAGTAACCACCACAGGTATATGCAGTTATTCTGATCAGAGCATAGAAATCTTGTATCCCACAGTGAGAGCCCCTCTGCTGTAACAACTGTGAAAAAAATTAAGGTGAACAATCAGTGTTGCAGCCAATGCAACACAACTCATCTGAAGTACACAGGCATTTCATAGAATCATAGAACAGTTTGGGTTGGAAAGGACCTTAAGATCATCCAGTTCCAACCCCTTCAATATTTTGCAAGGAGACACTTACAAAGAATGACCATCAGTGCAAAATCTCACTCTTCTAAGGTGGCATTTCTCAACTAAGCAGCCAGAGGCATTGCTCAATGTGACACTGACAAGGCCTATCAGGGGTAATGGAGGGAAAATAAGGGAAGAAAAAATTTAAGGAAAGCACTAAGAAAATCTTCCTGATAGTAAGATGCCCTGCAGAACTGTCTCAAGGCAAAAGCTGAAAACTTGCTCACTGGGAGGTATATAAAACTAGAACACAGAAAACAAAAAAAAATCTATTACAAAAGAATCCTGAATAGCCCCAGGGGAGAGAGGCTGGATGATACCATATGCCTTCTCTCTCTGATCTCTGATTACCATATGCCTCTAATTTATCTGTATTCACATCTTGCCTGCCCTTCAAAGAACTATTGCTCACAATCTCTTATTGCTGACAAGCAGACAACCTTAAACCTCTTGAGGACAAAAGGATGCCTGGGTTGAATGCCCAGGCATAGACACTGAAAGAGGTCTGAAACAGAGAGGGAGGGGGACAATGCTGGGTCTCTAACCCATCAGCTTTTTTCACATTAAAATATTCACAGTAATTTTAGAACCAAAGCAACAGCACCCTAAGCTGGCACTCCGAAACAGTGGCCAGCTCAGAGGGTTTCTATTAGATCTTGCTTGCACTCAAAACAAAATCTTTTGTTGACTGACCTCACCTGGCTTTCTTACCTCTTTTTTCCTGTGAAGCTTTGGCCCTTGGCGGAGAAGCCTGAGAGAATCTGACAGAAGTATACGTTACCTCCTCACTCATGTCAGCTGCAGAAGTTTCTGATCTGCTTCCCTCCATGCCAAAGCAAAGAGTGAGCACAAGATGTTTCGATCAGGTTGTAGAACAACAGGGCTCCACGCCTGCAAAACAGGAAGCCTGAGGCTATATTCAAAAGACAAGTAATGTGAAGTTGCAGCCTCCATCTCCAGCTGCTCAAGACAACCAAATTTACAACAGAATGGAAAGCAGTGTTACTGCAGTAACTTCCATTTCCTAATCTGATGAAGGATGTTTTAAGAATAACTGCTGGTGGAAAAGGTGATTAATCACCAAGCTCATGAGCATTTTAATTGTTGCCAATGCAAGAGGGCATGGTTACACTGATGCAGTAACTGGGAGGATGTGCGCTGCTCTGAGGAGCTTCCTCTCAGGGTCAGAAGCAGGTGGATAACCAGAGCACAAGCTAAAAAGGTGAATAGTATGTGCACAAGATGAAAAGTGTGATAAGCAATGGCTATGGCAAACTGGTAGCCCAGCTGCTGTCAAAAGGGAAGTAGAGGTGGACAGTATGGGTTTGAGAAGGAAGCCTTATATGCTCTCGACACTTCTACTAGGAACTCTTTCTTTACCAAATACCAGTGTGAATATGCTCGTGACACAAGGCAGACACTGAGAGCTGGCATCCCTCAAGGCTCTCTGAGTCAACACCTTAACAGCATCAGTATGAGAGAGATATGGACATGCTGGAGAGAGTCTAGCAAAGAGCCACAAAGATGATGGACTGCAGCACCTCTTCTATGAGGAAAGGTTGAGAGATCTGGGACTGTTTAGCCCAAAGAAAAGACATCTTGGAGAGGATCTAATTAATGTATATAAATTCCTGAAGGAAGGTTACAAGAAGAGTCAAAATCTTTTTAATGGTGCCCAGTGACAGGACAAGAAGCAATGGGCACAAACTGAAACACAGAAGGTCTTCTCTCTGAACGTCAGGAAATGCTTTTTTACCATGAGGGTGATCGAACACTGACAGAGGTTGGCCAGAAAGGTTGAGGTGTCTCCCTCAATAGAGAGTTGTCTGGACACAGTCCTGGGCTGTAGGTGGACCAGGCTGTAGATGGCCTGTCTTGAGCAGGGGGTTGGACCAAAAGGCCTTGAGAGGTCCCTTCCCAATGCAATCATTTTGTGACTCTGTGGTCACCAATAACAGGTAAGGATACTTTTCTTTTGAAGTAGTGACCACTGATGAGAATAATTCAAGTTGCACCGGAGGAGGTTTAGATTGGATGTTGGGAAAAATTTCTTCACCAAAAGGATTATCAAGCACTGGGACAGCTGCCCGGGGAAGTGGTTGCACGACTATCCCTGAAAGTTTTTTAAAAAGATGCAGATGTGAAGCTTAGGGACATGGTTTAGTGGCAGTGTCAGGTTAATGGTTGAACTCAATGATCTTAAGGGTCTTTTCCAGTCTAAAAGATTCTTTGATTCTATGGTGGGGACTACTGATGCTTCTAGCATCCTGAGAAACCTCTTAGCTGCATAGTTGGCTGATTTTTGTTTTAATCCAGATTCTGATCCTTTTCATTTCATGCTCAGAATGGGGATGTTTGCCAGGCTCAGGGTGCACATCTTCAGCACAGTACATGTAATTTACCAAATTGTTTGAGCATTCTCAAGTAAGTAGTTGAAATGACTGCTATTCCCAACAGGGATGATTGTTATGCGTCCTGGTGACATGCTCTAAATTTGAGAAATGATTGCATGGGAGGATGCTCAGCTTGATACAGTATTGTGGCCAATTTGTTACAATGCACATGTCTAGGAAGGCATGAATTGGATATTTCTGCAAATTTCTCCACTTACCTCTAACGGTGGCATGTAGCACCCACAGAATTCCTTGCAATCATGGGTAGAGCCTGTAGACAGCAAGATAAGGAGTCTGTGCTCGAAGGGAAAGGGAAGGCAGAAGACAGAAGGAAGAGGAAGAAAGTCTTTCCTGAATGCTTTGAGTGGATAATACAGAAGTCTAAAGAGAGCTCTCAAACCCAGAGAGCTACTACACTCGCAAGGACAACTTAGCTGGGAATACAATCTGTGTGGCTGAAAAGAAGCCAACAGGATTCAGAGAGAGCCTAAGTGCCCAGACCAAGGGGAAAAGGCCCTACAGCTGCCTACAGGGCCAGAGTGACCATAAAGACAGCACTATTTGGGAAGAACTGGAGAAGTAAAGACTGGCAAGAAAGAATTAAGAGCTCTGTTTTGATGTGGTTTACCATTTTTTCTCAAATATCAGCAGTAAGTTGAATTCTTAGTTTCAACAGGAAGTAGAGAGGGAACAGTCACACTGTAGGAGATGGGCAGGCAACACACAGTTAATAGCTAAGTGTGAATAAATAAGTCTGACTTTTGCAGCTGTGCCATACTCCCAGTGGAATCACAGCAGGACTAAATCAATCAGTTTTCCAGGAGCCAACAACGCCCCCAGTTCTTCACTGCTGAAGCAGCATACCATGGGGAAATCTCTCAAACTTCTCTCAAACAAGTGGCTTCTCTAGCATGTTCCTAAGTTCACTAAACACCACATTTGTTTCTTAAGTAAAAGATGCAAAAGCCTCAGAACTCTGACAAGGAACAACTGTCCCTTCCAGCAACAGACCCCTAGAAAGTGGACTCTCTTATCATTGCAGTGGGAGCATGACTTAAGGAGATAAATGTCCTTTAAATGGGCCAGTCTCAAATAATTTATAGCTTTATGAATCGCACCCAAGATGCTCAAGTCCACCACCCTTGTGCACTATCAGCTGGACCTGGAATTCCTCTGCAGTGGCAAAACTTGCAGGAGCTGGGAGAGACACCTTCATTCCAAAGTATAACAAAACATGGACGTACTGGAAAGAGTCTACCACAGAGATACAAAGTGGGGACAAAATCAGAAGGATCGAGGACACAAAGCAGTTTTGTGAACTGGTCTAGACCCCTCGCTCCTTTAACACTCTGGAAGCACCCGGTGGGGATGGCAAAGCCCGAGGACAAACTGCTGGACCACCACTGCCTCCGGCAGCGGGAGTGAGGGGCGCGCTGTCGCCGGGAAGCCTGCCTGCTGCTGTACCGGAGAAAGAAGAGGGAAGAGCGCGACTTCCAGCTGGGAAAGCCACAACGCACTTGAATGAGGTGACTTCCAGCCGGCAGCCCGACGACCACCACGCCGTGGGACCGCGTCCCACCGCCCCTCACTGACCCCTCCGCCCCACTGCTCCAAAGGGCCGCCCCCGCCCGGAGGGCCTCGCCCTTTCCGCCGGCCCTCGGCAGCTCATTGAACGGAAGGGAGGGGAGGCGGGCCCCGGCGTCCGTCAGTCCCGCGCCCATTGGGTGAGGAGGTGGAAGTAGGGCGGGGCCCGGCGCAGCCCGGCGCTCCCCGCCGCGCTCATATCGCTTAGCGGGGCCGCTCCTGGGCGGCCCAAATCTCCGGCGGCTGCCCGGGCTCCATTGGTGGCAGCGCGAAGTTCCGCCACGCTCTTTCCGCTGGCGGGGCGGCGCGGGGGAGCCGGCCGGACGTGGAGTAAAGGCCGGTGTCGCCACGTGGGCCTGCGCTCTGCGGCCCGCCCAAAGCATGGGATAACCCGTGACCCGCGGTTCTCTCTTCCCTACAGGCGGCGGCGCCTGTGCCCGTGCGCGGTCGGGGAGGACCGGGGGCGGCCGCAGGTGGGTGCGCGGGGCTGAGGGCTGGGGCTGAGGCTGGGGCTGGGCTGGGACCGGTGCGGAGCGGGGCACGGCGAGGGGAGCCGGCAGGGGCGAGCGCGGGACAGCGGCCGGGTGGCCCGCCGGGTCGCTTCCGGCGGCGCGCGCCAAGTTCCCGGGAGGAGCCGTGTCCAAGTGTCTGGGGGTTCAGGGACTGCCTGTGGCCCCCTCGGGAAGACGAGTCACGAGTCACCTCGTGTCACGGGCTTCCTCATTTCAGCGAGCGCGCACTGGAACAGCCTGCCCAGAGAGGCTGTGGAGTTTCCCTCACTGGGGATATTCCAGAGCCGCCTGGACGCCATCCTGTGCATTGTGCTCTAGGACGGCCCTGCTTGTGCGAGGAGGTTGGACCGATTCTGTGGTTTAGGCGTTTCTAACCTTGTGTTGGCGCCTGGCCCCCGTGGCAAGCAGAGCCCCGGCTCGGCAGTGTCCGGCAGGGATGCGGGGAAACCATTGGGTTCAGTCAGATGGGTTCTGTGCCCGTCTGCAGCCGGGTGATTGTTTAATTGAGGGTCTCCCGGCTGCCTTCCGCCAGCACATGGGGCTTTACCAAAATCTGCGGCAGGAGAATTTGTTGCACCGCGCTGGTGGGCTCGTGCAATCATTGAATGTTTTGTGTGTGATTTTAGCATGAACCTGAAAGCCAGGTCTTCTAGATTTTATTATTGTTATCATTACAGCTTCGTTGCTTTGATCTCACACAGGATGTCTTGCTTTCCTCCTTCCCTTGTGTAAACAGAATAAAACTTCTGTGAAGTTGCAGCTTAGCAGTATTAAACACTTTCAGATTCTCAGCTAAAGTAGTACTAGAAAGATAATTATTAAGATTAAGCCACTTGAACAGAGCCTGACTAATCACAGTGGGTCTTTCCTGTGAACTCTTTACATGAGATCTGTGAAGAGGATTGATTAGAGGCCTGATAAATAATTTTCTGCTGACTGGCTTCTTGGTGCAATGCAATAACAGTGGCTTATGCCTGAAAATTACTCCAGTGTTCAACCTGCTGGACTCTGGTCTGGCAGCTAATTAATGTGCTCAGCAGCAAAATGTTTTGAGGTCCCAAGGGAAAATTCAGAAAAGAGTCCCAAGTGGGCCAAGTGAATTGCCTTTGGCCAGGTAAGAGACTCAGATTTAGCGTCTCTTGGGAACTGTGAGTTGTTTCTAGAGTTCACCTTCTCCTTTTTGCAGTCAGGACTGAGGAAGTGGCTAATCATTGACTCCGTGACCCTGAAGTTAGTTCGCAGGGGGCTGAAACACTTAATCCTCTGTGTTCCCTGTGGCTTGTGTCCAGGATGTCATCACCTTGCCATACCTCTGCCTTGCTGCTGGTCTTTATGGCCCTGGCTGTAGCGGGGGCTGAGCAGTCTGAAGAGAGGAGCTGTGATGTGATTGGTGATGAAAGCAGTGAGTCACAAATGGAAAGAGCCCTGCTGAAGAAACTG